TCACTTCACGCTCACCTTGTGATTTCCCAGCACCACTACCCTCACCTTGGACCCACCTCACCTGGTGGTTTTGTTCTGTGAAATCCCTAGAAAAGTATACAGAAATGGGACAGCAAGATTTCACAATGCTAAGTCATAAATAATTTTATTGAATTTTATTTACTCAGGAAGTAGCAGGGACATGTTTATAGAGAAGCACGAATCAGCACAACTGAGCAAACCTACTTTCCTCCCCAGCACATGTATAATCCCACCTTAGTCACCCTTCGCTTCCAGTTGATGTGGAAACTGTACATGAGCATGTTCTGTTGGCTTGCAGTTAATAAGGGTATTTTTAAGTGAAAAGGCTTGTGGATAGCTGAGTGTGATGGCACATGCCTGTAATCTCCTCAGGAGACTGAGGTGAGAGGATTGCCTCGAGTTCAAAGCTAGTGTAGAACAACAAAACCTTGTTGAAAGGAGAGAGAGAGAGAGAGAGAGAGAGAGAGAGAGAGAGAGAGAGAGAGAGAGAGAGAAACAGCGAGCTAGAGATAGAGACAGAGAGAGAGACAGGCAGAGAGAAGAGACAGAGAGAGAGGAGGGAGGGAAAACTGAGGGGGAGCAGGGAGCTTGTAGAGGAACAGTTCACACCTTGTTTCCCAGCATGAATATATTTAGTCATCTGCAGCAGGTGGGGACTGTTAGAAAAATGTTGTAAGGCACTTTGACTCTAGTGAAAACAGGGACATTTAAACTCAGAGCCCCAACTGTAAGCTTGCTTAATGTCACCAAATTTAAGGAAAAAGAATAGATTCACTTGTATTGAAGACAGAAATGTCAAAGGACAAAGCAAAATGTTCCAATATGAAAAAATTGGCTAGGGTAATATTTTAGCTTATTTTCATTAACTGAAACATTCTCCACATTCTATGCAAATGTGGTCCAACCTGTTCATTAATATAATATGATCCATGCCTGTATTAATCGATTGATTCAGCCAACACTGATTAAATAACCTATTATGTTCAAGGGGATCATGAGGCACCACAGAGGGTGCCCACAAAAGGGAAGGACTGAAAGATCATGTCTTAACAAAGGAAGGTGATCCCAGTACCCATTACTGACATGGAAACAATAGCAGTAGCACACTAAATGCAGTGACCACAGCCAATGGCAAGTCACTGGCTTGTAATGATGAAATACACAGGGCCACACTCTCAGTTAATTCAGTTACCCAAAAAGTTTCACAGAAGAAAAAAAAAGTGTGGAAAGAAGACAGACTCCTTCAGGAGTACTTAAACACAATGGATGAGGGTTTTTTGTGGGTTTTTTTGTTTTGTTTTGTTTTTTTGCAAAACCAGGGATTGAACTCAGACCCTTGCACTCCCTAGGGAAGTGCTTATGCTACTGAGCCATCTCCCCAGCCCAATGGTTGAGTTTTAAAAGCATATCTAAAAGAAAAACTCAACTGACCTGGAATCATTTTTTTTAAACAAGGTATCTAATTTGAAGATATTAGGATGTTATTAAATGGTTTCCTCAAGGTGGAATTTCAGAGAAAAATTTCAACCCAACACTCTAGTGTAATTACCTAACTTTTCTTTCAAGAACCAAAGATTGGAAATCACCATGATGAAAAGGAATATACAACTAAACCCCAACCCAGAGCCTCCCCTTCCTCACCCTAAATGTCTACAGGAGACAGACACAAAATAGTTTCTAAAATCCAAAACTATGATGGAATTTAAAATGACACACTACTGGTGGGTAAGAAACTATGCAGAACCCCAAACAAAAGAAAAGCTCAGGAACAGAATAAAGGAACTGCAGTGGACAGAGGAGAGCGCGCTGGCCAGAACCAGGGGGCTCTGGGCTGACCCAGAGCTGGAGGGCAAGGTGGCAGCACAGGGCTGAGCCGCCTCTGTGAGCCACAGAGCTGGAGGAAGGACGCGGGCAGACGCAGCCGCCGGAAGCCAGGCCTTGAGAGTCAGCCAGAGGAGACGCGGCTGAGGAGAAGCCTCGTGTGCGAACTTCCCAGGGAAAAGGTCTAAGAGTTTTGAGCTTAGAATCTCTTGGTCAGCCAGCTTCCTTGAGAAGTACAGGCTGACTTCTTCAGCAGGTAAAAATTGGAGATTGCTTTTTTTTTTTCAATTTCTCTGAAAGGAATATTAAAAGATATACAGCCGCAAAAAGGAAAACAACTTTAAGAGGATGTTATAAGACACAAAAGTCAATGTAATACAAAGAAATAGGAAATGTTCACTAAAACCAAGTGACTGTCTAAAAACAGAATCCAAAAACATATAAAATAAAATAAAGATAGAATCCCCACTAATAAGAAACTGAAGAATGGATAGAAACAAGGAAGGAAAAATATATTTTCTTATTTTCTAGGAATTATCTCTATACATGTGCAAAAAAATGTATGTCAAAGTATGTGTAGTACATATTTTGATTTTATATACTTTTCGAAAAGTAAAAGCATATTCTATAATTTCCAAGCAATGAAGGAAAACAAAGGACATTGTTAGTGTACACAAAGGAAAGAAGAAAGAAAAACACTATAGAAAAATGAGCAAATGGCTGGGGAGATAGCTCAGCAGTCTGGGCGTCTGCCAGGCAAGTGCAAGGACCAAAGTTCGATCCCTGATACCACATGTGGTGCCAGCCTGAACCCCAGGTGCCATGTGTGGGCCACTGAAACCGGTTGTGGGGGCTTATACCTGTAATCTCAGCACTGGGGAGGCTGAGACAAGAGATCACGATGAGTCTGAGCTACATAGTAAGACCCTGTACCAAATACATATAAAAAAAAAGAAAGAAAAAGAAAATTGGGTAGAGGGATCACCCTCCCTCTGCCTCAATCATGGGGTTCTGCAAGGACACATAAGCAGAGTGTGCCACCGGCATGCAGGCAAAGATGTCTGCCAGGGTCACTGGGGAAAAGAGACAGAGTCAGATCTGTCTCTTTTCCTCTCTGTAGGTGCCGAGCTAGTGTGGTCACAGTGGCCAAAAGCCCAGATGATTCCACAATGAATTTTGTGCCTCTATAAGGCAATTTTTGTTCAGGGTGCAAATTGGTGACATAATGGGACAGTTACTCCCTTACCAATTAGGGAAAAGACATTTTAAAAGTCGGGGTTTTAGCCAGGTGCAGGTCTGTGATCCCAGCACTCAGGAGGCTGAAGCAGGAGGATCATTGTGAGTTTGACACCAGCCTGCACTACAAACTGAGCTCAAGGCCAGCCTGCACTGCATAGGGAGACCCTGTCTGGGGGAAAAAAAGAAAGGAAAGAAAAGAAAAGAAAAAAGAAAAATTGAGTTTTAAAATAAGTGTTGGCTGGCAGGAAGGGAAGAAGTCCAACTGCCCATGATGAAATCAAAGGGCTCCGCTTGTGACAGAACTTCTTGGGAAGGATAATTGTTATTTTCTAGGGTCCTTCAGGATAAGAAACAAATGCTCAAATTTGTTTTTATTACATTCGTAATAAATTTGCATTTTACTACATTTAAAATTAATGTGCATTAAGAATAAGTAGGAAACAACGCTTGTTGCATAGGTCTTGCTTTATCTTGGTCTTAACCACCCAGCAGAAAAGTATAAAAATGGAGTAAAGAAATAAAGCCATGCTGTTAAGTTGAGCTGTAGGGGATCCAGGTCAACAATTTCTACACTGCTAGTGAAGCGGAAGGCCCAATACTATTATGGACTACTGGACTCTTTTAGAATATTTTGCTGAGTTTACACACCTATAATATTCAAATGACAGAACTAAACAAAAAAGGGGATACAGATGAATGTCCATTTGTGTCTGTGTATTCAAAGTGGTTAGGATAGATACATAGTTACATTCTCTTAATGAATAGTGTGATTTGTTCCAATAGTGTTTGTAAATAAGATATCATGTCTGCATCTTGTACAGCAAATAACCACTAGGAAGAGAGTATGCAATGTGTTAATTACTGAAACTGTCCTACCAGTTTGATTTGAAACTGTCTCATTGCTATTTGTCTCTCAATAAAATTATGGGAAAAAAAGAATAAGTAGCAGGTATGCTTTTCTTAAGTAAAAGTGAACCTCAGAGGATCTGCTGAAAACACTAGGTTGATCATGGTTAACACAGGGGCCTGTACTCAGAAACAAACAAACAAATGAGGGCCTATGTTTAAAAATGTGATTTTCTGCTATGTTACCTGCCTCTGGCCCAAAAGAGCAAATACAACTGTTTATGAACTTGCTAATGAGTTGATGAACTGATTAACATTTCAATGGAGGAAGAGTGTGCCCTGGTGGGTAGCACAGAGGACTTCAAGGGTGGGAAATCCTAGCCAGATGTTCGCTTTTCCCTTCCTTGCAATGTGCTAGCTCTTACATAGAGCTGTGACTGCCGTATGGCACCCTTTTAAATTCTGGAGATGCCAATACTGCATGAGAAGCAGGGAACTACAGCAAGGCAGGAGATTCGGAACCCACTCATGGGGCTAGGCAGGCACAGGGGCAGACTTAGGGCACCACATCAAGAGGCACAGACATCTGGCAATGCAACTAGTTGAGGAGAATGTAGTGGATAAGTGGCATTTGCTTGTGCTGCCGGAACATTTTGTCACCCCGAGGTCATCCCCTCTGCATGGCCTGGGTACCAGTCAAGTATATATGTGATCTACATGAGCTGCCCTCTAAGCAGATAGTTTTTGGATGGACAAATGAATGGGTGGATGGATGGATGGATGGATGGATGGATGGATGGATGGATGGATGAAGTAATAAACACTGGCTTTTTTTTTCTCTGTGCACTTTTAGAGTTATCCATTCAGAATCAATATTCTCCTTGCAAAGAATACCAGTAAACTTGCTCCCAGCTGGCTTCTCCACACTGCACAAAAGTGTCTGATTCAGTGGAGACATCAATAGCACACTAGACAGAACCTGGGGAGTGGTAGTCCTCCCAGACTCTCTACCACACCAAAGCAATTGGAAGAATTATTAGCAAGTACAACTCATTGATTTAAAAATAAATTACCGCAGTTGGGTATCTGCAGGTTTGCCAGGGGGATGTTCTTGCTGCTTTCATTTAGGCAGTACAAATCCTGAGTTTCAGAGCTGGATTTAATCTCTTGGAGAGTCTTGAGCCACATAATGCCACAGGAGCATGCGAAGGGATTCCCAACCAGTATCCTACATGAAACAAAAATGAAAGTTTAGATTTTTTTCTTTCTTTTCTTCTTTCTTCTTAAATCCTTATAACCTCTTTTTCTTTTTCCAATTTTGCACGCATATACCTGGCGATCTAAACAAGTAAGCTGAAGACACTACGCAATACAACAGATACTGTGGAATCCATATTATTTTGGTTAGCGGAATTCCAGATCATTTCTATTTTTTTATTGTTACTATTTTGTATTCTCTTTTTAAAAAACCTGATCAGACATTGTTGCAGCTATGTTAGTGTGTATGAAATATGGCACTATGAATTCTTTCTAGCCAGCAACCTTTGGAAGTCTCTCCCCCTTTCAAAGCACAACAGTACTTATTATTCACTCACTTATCCAATAGTTACTGAGCTGCCATTACATGCAAACATTGTTGACGTGAAAGAAGGCAAAAAGATGCTAAACTTGCAGAATAACAAAAAAAAAAAAAATGATTGGACCAGGAATAGCTACTACAGAGGATAAGAAAAAAAGGTCTGGTAATCTGTCAGAAATAAAGCCACCTTAATAAATTTATCATGGCTATTATATAGTTTTTAAAAAGTAGAGATGCCAACAGAAAATTTTCAGGAACAATAGCATCCCTTTTTCTGACCAGGCTAGATACTCAAATGTCTTCAGTTTGCAAGTTCAAACTTCAGTGGAACAATTCACCTCAGTTTAAAATGAGCCTGTAAGTAGAAATCTAAGACTGAGGTGTGAGCACCAGAGGTGGCTCTCCTGGCTCTGCGCACTCTACAGACCGAGTCCATTTCATTCATGCAAGACAGCGGAGGGGGACAAGCTAAACAGAAGCTGTCAGCTCGCTCGCTCTCTCTGTTTCTCTCTGTCTCTCTATCTCTCTGTCTCTGTCTCTCTCTCTCTCTTTCTCTCTCTCTCTCTCTCACAAACACACACACACACACACACACACACACACACACACACACACACAGCATAAGCCCAGCTTTCTGAGGGGAAGACCCTGAGCTCCAGAATGAGTTCTCTGCCCTCTGCTCACAGGCTCTGCTAAGCCACGGGGAGTGAGCCTCAGCCATTCTGTTTGGGCTCCTGTGGGCTGCGATGGGTGAACAAGGAAGCAGGCAAAAGGAAAATAAAAACCACAGAGGAAAAAAAATCTTTAAATGCTTATTTATAATACTCAGTGGCCTATTTAAGATGAATCCCATTTATGGTAATGAGCCCTTAAATGAGGCCATTTAAAGTTCCACAAACTGCCTGGCAACAGCACAGCGCTGGAGGACAGGCCCCAGGCTTGCCACACCATTTACTCCTGTGGTTTTCTGGTTGGGTTCTAAGAATCTCAGCGATCCCCAGAGACTTTCCTGTGAGTTTCTTTGGGGAAGTTGTGGTCGTGGTAGACAGGTTTAGGCTGTGTCTGCCCACCATCAAGTATCCCACCACTGCCCAAACAGGGTTTGAAGCAATGAGATACGGACTGTAATATCGAGGAAGATACCCGCAATCAGTTTAAACCCCAGTAATCCAGGATGTTCCCTTGAGTTCTGAGTGATTAAAAAAAAACTACAGTCTTTCTAAAAGGGGGGTGGGTAATAATCAAATCAGCAGATGAGATCAAGAAGCCAAAGGATGCCTTAATTTAGCAAATGCCGAAGTTCGGATGACCACACAGCCCTGGCAGGCAGCGGACTCCTTCCCCTGGCCCACTGTGTGCCCTCATCGCTCAGAGACTGTTCCATCTCCTTATACGCATTATGTTGGATTCTCTCTCCTGCTAGAACACAAAATCCTCCACACAGAAACTGCTGTCCTCGAAGATCCATGCCCCAGCCACTCTGGTAAGTAACAAATACACAATTAACACTTGTTCAGTGAATTGATTAAATATGCTGCAGGGAGAATATTGAAACATTAATGTGAAGTAAAATTTTAATTTAGAATCCACCTACTAACTACTGTACAAGTCTGAACAACATTTTTACACTGAGTGCCCTACTCTGTATTATAGATTGCCCTTTCATTTTTCATGTCTATATCCTGTTATACTGTACCCCACAAATACCTATAATTATTATGTGGTAATTAAAATAATCTTTAGTTGGCTGGTGAGATAGCTGAGTGGTCTAAAGCACCTGCTTAGGCAAGCTTAGGCTGAGTGCAGGGACCAAGTTTCGATCCCTGGCACCACATGCTGCACCAGCCCAGCCCCAGGGCAGGCTGAACTGGCCACAAAAAAATAAAATAATCTTTAAAAAAATAAATATCAGTGTAATTCCACCTTCTTGAATTCAATTTATTCCAAATAACTGCTGTCACCAAGGTCGTCACCATTAAGTCCCCTTTTCATCCTATTTCCCAGCAGCATTTGCTACTCTGCCCAGTTTTCTCGTGAACAAGAATGGATTTTCATAAAGACACTAAGATCAGGCAACACGCAGTAAGCAAAGACACTTCAGAATTAAAACGCCTTGACCTTCCCGGCCATGCGTGCACAGACTGTCCACCTCGGGCGCTGCCAGGCCCCTCGCAGCACGAGTGGCAGCAGTTCCTGTCTGTTCCACAGTGACAACTCCAAAAACCGAGCACACTCAGAAATGCTGATGGCTAGTCGTCAGCACATTTCTGCATTTCTCCTACCATGTCCAACAGAGGAAATTAGGGTGTAAGGATAAATACTGAGCACAGTGGCAGACCCAGAAGAAAATCCCCAAGATGGGGAGGGAGGAAACCTCTGACATTCACAGTGCCCAGACTGGCACTGAAGAGCAAAAGCCCGACAGCTTTGCCCACTGTTCTTTCCCTGCTGGCAAGTTCATTTCATAAAGGTCTGGACCTAACAGGAGCCAGAGACACTCTTTGAGACCTACAGTTGCTGTACTGCAAATCCCTTTGCCTTGTAATCCTTTTCCCTCCATTACAAAATAAATTATTTATGTGAAAACAATATTAAGTTCATCATAAATGATATATCGCCACTGAGATTTCTATTTTGAAATTACTGAACCATGTTTTCCTGAGGGAATGAAAGAAAAAGAGGCCAAAACGCAAGAAATCATTTCTCAAAAATTCAGATCAAGACTCACAGCTTTATGTATGTAAAAAAAAAGTCATTGCATAGCCCTTCTGTGCAAGTGTCCCCCACATGCCACACAAAATCACTACTTACAGCTCAGACAAGTCAAGGTGATGGAAATGTTTCCTAGACAAACTCGTCAGTTTATTTCGGGTGAGATTTCTGAAAGGAATCAAAAAACATTTAAGTGTGAATTTAAAAGGCTACGCTTTCAAAGGGATGCATTCAAACAGAAATTATGTTTTCAAAATATGAGTTTATTCAGTTGTGGTGCACAACCTAACTAGATGCCCCTTTCCTGCTTTCTGTTGGAATGATGGTTCGTCACTTTTCCTGCCTTTCCTATAGTTCTTGCTTACTAGGGAGGAGGGAGTATACATTTTATATTCTCTGCTTTTATTCTTTTTTCACCCCCTAATATTTATATTTTATATGTGCATTGAGAATCAAGTTATATACCTCACTAAGACTCTGACTTTTGAATAACTAATAGGCTATGTGAAATAAAGTTAAAATAATAAGCTCGTTAGAGGAAAAAGATGCTTTAAAACTAAACAGCCTAGTGAATTCAACATGACATTGTAGGAAAGAACACCCTTACTGATTTATAAGTACAAGTGAGATGTTACATGAGCTAAATAAGCTAATAATTTTATGATGAAAGTAGGAAAAAAATCCAAAAACAAGGAATACATTAGATCTTATCCTGAACTGGTCCAGCAACATACCACCTTGAGATGCAAACTAACAAGACAATGAAAAGATAGCATATTTGTGGTTTAAAGACTCGTAATGAATTTCCTGGCATGCTCCAAATATGTGTTTTTAATTGATGGATGAGTTTCCAATGATTAGTACCACGAGACCCTGAAATGGGAAATTCCCCGTCCCAATCCTGGTGGTTGATTCCTTCTGTGAGATTGTTTACTATTTGAATATTTTTAAAATATGTCCAATACTTGGGCCTCCAGACATATGTCTAATAAGTAAGATGAATGCAAAACAAACAACACCTGTCACACAGACAGCCAAGACTTTGACCACCAAGAACAAATCCATGAACTCTTTGGTGTCGTCTTCCTGCTCAGGGAAGCAAATTCCAGCTGTGAGTCAGATAAAACGAGAGCTCTAAGGGGGGCACAACCCTGCCCTGTCTCTGAGGCCAGTCTGCGTGTGTCAGCTAGAGGACAGCATGGGTGGAAGTGTCCTCATGTGTCTGGCAGGCATCGTTACAGAGGCTGAAACCAAGGAGCTAATGCAGAAGCTAAGCTAGTCCTTGAGTAAAGGCCACTGTGGATGCCACAATTCAATAAAACCTGGGGTTTGGCTCCTCTGGAACCTGCCTGCCAGGGGGTGCCTCCTTTCTCTTGAGGGCACTGCCTGCCTCACTCACGTAGGAGCTCCCCAGCAGGACAGGCACACCCACTGCCAAGCTGTGAGCGGCAGCTCCCTCAACCTTGCCTCCTGCAATGTGAATAAGAATGGAGCTCACTGAGGTACACAGGCTGAAAAGTCAGCCTTCCTGTCTTTCCTGCAGTCTTTAGAATACAAATGTTTTCACTTCTATCAAAAACTCTATTCTTCCTACAAAAAGAAAACAAGGGGGTGGAAAAAACCCAAAACCTTGCTCTTTCCGTAGGACGAAAATGGGGAGGGGAGACTGGAACAGAAGGAAGAGAGAACATGAAACCTGCACAGCGCCTCCTGCAGCGAGGGAGCTGCGGCCTCTCGGGGAGCAGCCGCCTCTGTCCTGCTGCCAGTAGCACCATGCAGAGTGGTCATGGCCCAAAGAATAAGACAAGTTTTATGAGCCGTACTTATTATTGGGGCCAAAAGCCAAGAGGAAGGAAGAGGGAAGGGGGAAAAAATGCAAGGATCCTCACTGTTTGATTAGCACCTTGACAAAAGCCCCAGGAAACTACTGGCTTTTCACACAGCCTCTGGGTTCTGAGAGCCTGGGCAGGAATGAGAGGTACCAGGAACACACTGAGTGACCAGTCACTCTGCCCTGGACACTCAGAAAGCAATTCTGACACGGACAGGAACCATGGGGTGGGGAGAGAAGGGAGGAAACCAAATGTGCATTTCACAAAAACCTGAAATGAAAGAAGCTGGTCTTGTCCATGTTTTTATACGGTGGAGAAACTCAAGGAAATCATCATCATATCTCAGGGGTGGAGGGAAACAGATTTCAACCTACAGAGGGTGCTACGTTCCCCACTGTGTTGCTAATGGAGGTGAGATGACAGGCGAGAAGCCCAGGAGCAAGCTGGTCCCCAGAGTTCTCACTCATCAGCAGGGATGGGCAGGCCAACGCCCAACCTGACCCCTCACTTCCCGTCATTCTCCGCAGCTGAACTTCCTATTTTGGCATATGGGAACCTCTTTTGCCAAATGAATACACGAAGTGGCATCTGACAACTTCACGCCTGCTTGAACACTTATTTAGTCTTATTTCATCTTACTACTTGATAAGAGCTATGAATGTTAGTAGAGGGTTCACCACTCGATCATTAATTGACTTCCCAACTATTGTTTCATAAGAAAACTGAACAGGATGTATATGCCTCATTAGTTTCCTATTTCCAAATAGTAACTTCTTGGGAAATGGGTGCATATTTGGCTCTAGCCAGGTGAAGCTGCATGCCGTACCTAGAACACAGTTAAATGATTCTACCATATATTACTGTAAAATAATTTTTCAATTATTTATTAATGAAACTACAGCCAATCAGAGCCCACTGTTCAAGTCATAGCATCAGGAGAAGTGATGGAATAAACGACCAGTAAAATGTGGTTTCTGAGTAGTGTGGGTCTAAGGTCAGCTGTAATGAAAATGCTAGAATTTAACCATTGAGGTCACTAATTACATCTAAGTGAGTACAATAAAGCATTTAGCCTTTTCCTTCTATCCAAACTTCTCCCTTGTTTATGCTGCCAAGGCCTACGCAGCCATCAGATCTGTACAGGCAAACCAACTACGGAGAAGATGCCAAAAATCATTTAAGTGAAATGTGTTAATAAATTTCCTTAGAGTTTTATCATATTTGTGCAGGGTGTTTTATATCTTAATTATACAGACTTTATTCTTAAAGTGGCTTCACCATTAATGTCATCTAAAATATAAAAAGACAAGATAATCAGCTTTATGAAATTAAATTAAGGCTTTTCATATATCAACACATCTCTACAAAATATATAGACAATCTGCTACCAGAAAATGATTTCTTTTATAACTGGTATAGATATTAGTCAGGAAACTGTTAGCCCAAGTATAGAAAGGGCAGATGTTATTAAAAAAGAATGGTTCTCTAATTGTACAAAGGGCATGCATTTTTCTCTTATAAGAATAAAAAGAGGGGTTATCCCTTGAACAATAATTCTACTACCTGGGCAGGTCCTAGAAAAATCCTCACACTGGTTGTGTGCATGCAACAGAAATAAGCAAGATTATCCCCAAAAATATGTATCCAATGAGATAACCCAGGTGAGAGCTGTATAGTGAGACTGTAGACTGGGAGACACAGAAGGCATCACTGCAAAGGGAATTTGGTCAGTGCAAGAAGAATGAATGCATTCAGGTAACAATCCTCCTGCAGAAGCTCCCATCTCACACCTGGGAGGTGGGGACCCCACTCTGCACTTGGCGGATGGCTTAATGAAGAAGCCCTTCTGAAAGGCCTGCTAACTAAAATGCCATCATTTAGAGAACAGAGCAGCAAATCATGTCTCATTTCCACTTGACTCCAGTCAGCAAAGCATCAGCATGACTTCGAGGGAAACATTTCCTCCTATTAACAAATGTCAAAACCTTTAGCATATCTCATGATGGATTTTTCTCTATATTTATCTACTCGTGACAGACTGGGTTGAGAAAACGAAGATTCCGAAGTTGGCCTGTTGTGGGGGGAACAGCATTAGTACTGTTCAGTTCCCTAACGGTGCCAAGGACATGTCAGCTTCTTTCAGCTCCACCAGTTTGACGTCTTCCAAGGAACAGGTCTTGATTCCAAGCAAAAAAACTAAAGACTCAGTACCAGGATGTAGTTTTCACATCGGGCTCCTTGCTAGTGGCCTGTTACTCTGTCCAAGATGGAAACAGACCAGAAATTCATGAAAGGGAGTAAACAGGCTGTTCTAAGTAGCCCTCTGAAGCCATTCAGAAATGAAACAAAATCGAAGCTGATGTTTGTAGGCTAGTATCACAGCCATACTGACTTTAAAGCAGGAAATTCAAAGTTGGAAAAGAAGGAAAATAGACACAAGAGGAAAATATCAAATAAACTGGACCCTGGTGAACAAAAGAATCAGTTGCTACTTACATGTGCTGTAGGTTGTTGTTTTTCAGAAATGCTTTATAGGCCACAAATTTTAACCCAGAATCCACAATTGTCCTATGAAAATACATAATTTCACGTGGGTTAGAATGAACCAGTGGGTACCTGCCCCACCACAGTAAAGCACTTGAAAGATCTGGGACCAAATACACAGCTCCTGGGTACTCACAGGTTTCTCAGTCCCACGTAGGCTTCCATGTCATCTTCGTTGATGATTTCTAGCCTTTTCTGATTTGCAATGAAACTACAACAAAGCAGAGAGGGGACAGCAGTGACTCCAGACATAGGCAACAAATTGGAAGAACAGGAAACTTTCACCCAACATCCATACCCATGCCAACCTATAATACAGCAAGGAGAGTAACACAGTATATGGCTGAGAATAAACCATGACAGACCAGGTTTCATGATCAATGTTAGTTTGCAAATTTCATATTTTCCCTCATCTTTTATCACTTACCTGACAAGTTCAGTTTTCCTTCCCTTTCTGAATTTCACCAGTGTGTGAAGGGGAACAGACCCTGAAAGTGCATGGACAGCTCTCCCACATGTCCCACAATTATAGGGACAACCATGGGCTCTGGAGAGCTCATACTGCCTGGAAAGCCTTATCCTGGCTCCTTTTCAAGAAACTGTCCCTTTTTTCTTTTGCATCTAGAAACAAAGGAATGTATTTCTTATCCTATCCCTGTCCTCTTGTTCTTTTCACACTCCAGTATTCTTTTTTTTTTTTTTTTTTTTTTTTGCTTTTTCAGAAATAGTTCCAATTTTTTTCCTTCAAAGAACCACATTTTCCAAGCCTCACATGACTATAGCATATTCTCTGTAGGAATCACATGGCCTTTCTGCTCCTCAAACCCTCAAACACAGAAGCAGTTTACAGGTTCTGTCCAGACAGAGAGCTCTCACTTGGACCATGATGACTGGCTCAGAATAGTGCATATAATTTCAACTCAACCAATGAGAATCTTCCTTAAGATTAAATAAGAAAATGGGGGGGGGGAAAGAGAGAGAGAGAGAGAGAGAGAGAGAGAGAGAGAGAGAGAGAGAGAGAGAGAGAGAGAGAGAGAGACTCTCTCTCCCATGCTGGGCTCATAGCTGAAGCATGGCAGAGGCCCAGGGTTCCCAAGGGGAAATCTTCTGCCATAGGAAAAGAGACTGTCCAAGAATGAAGTCAGCATACAGAAAGAAACAGGCAAGGAGGTATAAGAAACTCCCACTTGAGCCTTTGGATCCAGCCATCTTTAAAGCTACATGTATACTCTATATTCTGTCACTTATAATCAAAGTCCTTAGTATAAACAAACAGCTAACCTACACCCCTAGAATTTCCTATGCTCTGCCAGTTGTTGACGTATCTATCTCTTTTGAATTTTTTTGGATCATAATTTCTATGAAGACGAAAAGGAAAAAAAAAATATCCAATGAGAGAGTGCACAGCATCTGTAGGTGTCTCCTAAGCAGTGGGGAAAATATAATGATAATAAAATGGACAATAATGATTCATGCAAATGAAAAATCAAAAAAAGAAAAGAAAGATAAATTCTCTCAAGATACAAATTACACCAAGGAGAATAAATTTTAAATGATGCACACAAACAAATCATCCCATTACATAAAAAGGTAGCCTCCAAGATAGGAGGGCAGCGACCTCGCAAAGACCTTGGTTCTCCCGGGGCCTAGTGCTTCAGCCATGCTCAGAAGGAAGCCAACAACGTTAATACCAGACTATTCCCTGCTCTCTCCCAACAGACACAGAAGGAAATATTTTAAAACTTGCATCAAATGTTTAATTTTCAAGTTTTTATGAACTATTTCAAAATCATCACACTTTAGAGATGCTTTTCCGAGGCTTCCACTGCGCTGGTCTTCTCCGAAGAGACCACAGTCTCCTCAATCTCCCAGATTATCTGACAGTAAGAACTGAACTCCTGAGAGTCCTCGATACTTTGAACACTTTGCTCATACTGCTGGCAGCTAAAAAGGTAGAAATGCAGACATTTCCCTGCAGTCCCCTCAGGACCTCCTGCTAAGCCTGCCTTTGCCTCCCAAGCATGGTGGCTGTCCTTGCGCTGAACCTCTCCTGCCCCAGACTCCTGCATCTTCCTCTACCTGTGCTTCTCTGTGGGCTCCATGTCTAGGGCAACTGCCTGCTTCTTGTTAGCTACCTGAGCCACACTTACTGCACAAGCATCCTCTATATTTTCACCATTCTTTTAGCTGTTTATGCTCTTCACTTTACTTATATTTCATTTTAACCACATATTTAACTTAGTAACTTTAAGTTGTAATTGAACAAAATGCAATGAGCAAACAAATAGACACAGAGTAAAAGTCAAAGTAGAGACATCAGTGGGGCCCAGAATTAGGTTTTAAAATATATATACTTGTTAGGAAAGAGTAAAAGTTTAATTTGGAACTTGATGGTCACCAATATCCAAGAAAAAAGTAGAGCAAGTTAGGTCAGTGATAAGTTTACAGTATTTATGAGATGAAAATAAGTCAGAGAGACATTAAACAAAGCAGATCACAGCTGTTCTTGGCTCTGAAATCAGAAATCACCTCTTTACTGAAGAACTGTGTGAAATTATGAAAACTGCTCACAGAGAATTGTCCTTCACAGCAGGAGAATGCCCTAGATGGCCTTTTCTCCTGGTCCAAATAGAAACACCCAGACAAAGATCGGATCCTTAGGTTGGAAGGATTTCTCCAGCAGTTGAATCCAGGGGTGTCTCTCCTAAGATACCCAGTAGAGATGTCCATAATACAGCTGCTAGCACTAAACCGTGAAGAAATCTACTCCTTATAAATATACTCTTAGCTATCTCTAAGGGAGGACTAGAACTAGAAAGGAAACCAGTGAAGATATTAACAAGCCATTCACAGAGGGAAAGCCTTCCTGCCAAGAAACACAAGAAAACTTGCTCCTCTCACAAAGAACCTGAAATGAAAATTATAATCTCATACATCTCGCCTCCTCTGGAGTGACAGAATGTGTAACCCCTGAAACTATAGAGCATTTCTAAGGATGTGGGCTTTTGTTTCTTACACTGGTGAGCATGTATAAACTGGTGTTACCACTTTGAAGAACATTTTGTCAGTATCCTGCAAAATTATAAATTGGCACTCTGTGCAGCACAAGTCAGTCTCTGTACAGCCGCCCAAGAGAAACTCTCACACATGGATGTAGGGAGCACAACATAAAAATATTCACTGCAACATGCTTACCTGAATATTATAATTTCACTGTAATAGGGTTAAAAACCAGAAACAACCCAAGTATCCATCCACTATAGTAACAAAAACTTTAAAAAATAAAGTATATCAAATACATAAATTAAATCAGATATATTTGAGCAGAGAGATCTCCCTGTTATATGAGAAAAATAAGCAAAATTCCATACTGATGTATATAATATGTGTGTGTGTTTGTGTGTGTGTGTGTGTGTGTGTGTGAAAACACTTAAAAGTATGCCAAAACAATCCCACTGCATATTTGCAGGATATACATGATGTATAACAAGATGATTGCAAGGAGGATTATCTTGACAAAAAAAAAGCAGATCTGGGATAAAGAACCCTAAATTATCAAGTATTTATTTAATTAAACTGCTAGCCTATTTCTTTTATTAAAAGACAAAAGATGTGCACAAGAAGAGGCGAAATGTTAAGGCACTTGTCCTGAATATGGGTAAGTTCATAAAATTATTACATCTTTGTACTTTAAAAAAAAAAAACCTTTTAATTGATGAAAAGGAAAGAAGAAAGGAGGGAGAGAAGGGATGGAAGGTTAATGGACACCCCGTACAAGTGAAATGATGGCCAGAAAGCTGCCTGGGGTTTCTCAGTGACTCTGTAGATAAACATACCTGAGCTCAGGTCACTAGCTTCCTGGGCCACCCAAGTAGTGAGGCCTCTGACAACCTCCCCACAACCCCTGGGCAGACCCAAGGTGAAGTACGTGCTGCACTGCCCCCTACTGGTGATTTCTTTCTGCATCCCTAAGAGCCTGGACCACAAGTCTTTTCTGACTCTGTCCTCAACCAGGCTTTCCCCAGAAAACCATTTCCATGGCTCTTGTCAGAGTGCAGTGCCACTCTGAGGACTCTGCTTAACACAGTAGTCTCCAGAAGGGACTTCATCTTCAAGAAAGGAAGTAGAAGCAAGGGCAAGCTTAGCGCTTGGTCCATAGCAATCTCCAGTGCCCAGGGCTCTAGAAGGCATATAAGGCCCTGGGGTTTTCAGACGTACCCTGCCTTTGAGAAGTGCCCTCTCAGGAATCTCACAGAAGCTAGCAGAGCTCAGGTTCTTCCAAGAAAACTAAGTCCTCCTCCCCTATCCTCAGAGGCTGCTTCCTTCTCTTTTAGGAAGTCAGCTGCTCTTACATCATGACTATACTGGATGGATTGGGAATCTTCAATCTGACCTCCTAAAGAATTTGCCTGAGGGACAACCCTGAGGGATCTCTGACATGCTTCATCTATCAGCAGTCTTCTACATTGTCTCCAACCATCCTATGGTGCCCAAAATGTGCCTTCCTCCTTCCGCAGGTTAATCAAGGCCTTCTAGAACCAGGACTGTTTTTAATAGTTTTTTTTTTCTTTTTTCATATGTTTACTACACTCCAAGACCTAAAAGTTGGATAGCATATGTATTGAGAGTCTCAGTGTTCATCTAAGTTTATCCTGAAACTGTACAAGACCTGAAATACCTCTTGAGTATTTGGTAGGCAACACCAAAAATGCTTTTTAAGGCATTTTTAAGGTATTTTCCCATCAGTGGTAAGCATCTTTTGGCTGTTATAGCTCTTCTTGAGTCTGTAATTAAGAATTAGAGGGATTGAAGGAGGACAGGGGAATTGGGAAGAAAAATAATCAAGTTATGTCATGTATAAGTATAAATTCCATATGGTGAATTCACTCATTATATATACCTAAAGTGTACCAATAAACTTAATATTTTAAAAAAAGGGAAAGGAGGTACTCTTTATATCCACAATTTTATTTTTTTACTAATGTATCTAACGTCCCAACTATGAACACCTCAAAATTTGAGGCTCTATTCATCTCTTTGTAGCTCCATTCCCCAGCGAAGCCCACAAAAGCTGTGCGCTCCAACAGGTACATTCACCTGCTGCTTGGAGGTGTTACATCCCCACTCAGGACACCAGACACATGCACACATGTGCACAAGAGATACACACATACTGGTGAAGACTGTGGTCACGTAACTTCACATACTATG